TGTTCTACCTCTTACTCTGGCGAGTAGCGACTGGGATCTTCAAAGCTTGCAAGTGGTTATCTAGAGGCAATGATGCATCTCCCCTTGTCCAGAGCAAATAAGAATGAAGAAAACCAAAGATGCATGGAAACAATTAGTCCAAGAGACTAGTAGACTATGCAATCCTCAGCCTATATGAACATGAGACCAGAACTAGAGGGTGGCTGGCTACCACTGTCAACCACTCAGAGGGGGATCTGTGCAGATACAGTAGGAGAACAATGTGGAACAAAACTCAAAATCGTTAAAAAAAAAAAGACTAGGTTTGCCAGACTCATAGAGCCTGGTGAGACCCCCTGAGACCATGGCTTCTGACTATCCTTCAGGTCTGGAATTGAACTCACTCCTGTGGCTTTCCACCAAATAACAGGCATATGGGGTGAACATTTACATCAGGTACATACACTCCTTGGAGAGATCAATCATGGGCAGTATTTACACAGAAAGACAGCTTAGGGTGCCAGGAATACATGGGAGGGAAGGACACAGGGAAGAGGTAACTACAGAGAGGAAGTGGGAACAGAACTGTTACCTCGTGGGGAATTACAGTCAATGTCGTAAGAGAAAATGTATACTAACTACTATATGGAAAATGAATTTGCTCTGTAAACTTTCACCCAAATCACAATAAAAATTAAATTAAAAATTAAAAAAAAAAAAAGAAAGAAAAGGGGAAGAAACACCATGAGGCAGAGCTACTCCGTCACATGGGGTCTCTGTGAGTTGAAACTGACTCAACTGCACCTAACAGCAGCAACAGCATACTGTCCACAATTTTACAAACAACATTTGATGATCTTAAGAGGACAGCAGAATGAGCTTTCTCATATACCACACCTTTCTGGAAAGCAATCTGACAGCACATGTAAGAAGCCTTACTTTATACCCTTTCATTCTATTTCTAGAAAACAAGGGCATAATCAGCTATACAGGAAAGACTTACAAACAAGACTGCTCAAATCACAATAAAAAATTTAAAATAAAATAAATTATGGAATTTAAAAAAAAGAACAAGGCTGTTCATCACAGATGTTTTTAAAAGCAAAAAGTTGGAAACAACCTTATTGTCCAAGTGCAAGGGAATGGTTTAAATTACGACATAGTTCAATGATGGAATGTTATGTAATTATTGGGAAGAAAGTTCCCTAATAATTTTTAACAAGAAAAAAATGTAGTATTACAACAAAGCTATATATACACAATGATCCCAATTAAAATTGTTTTTTTTTTTTTGCATAGAAGAAAACATAACAAAACGCTTAAAATGGTTCATTTTGAATGGATCTTTCCCCCTACTTCTTCGTTATGCTCCTACAGTAATCATGTATTCCTTTGCTAAGGGGGAAAAAAATTGCTTAAGAGAAAATAAACAGCCATGACTAGGATTAAATAAATTTAGTCTGTGGCTTCCAAACCTGGGCTTCGACTTTCCTTGCCAATAAATCTAGAGGAATGTTGTCCTTGTTTTAAAGACAGATTTATACAATTTTCTAAGCTGAAAAGTTAGGCCCTAGGAATCTACAAGAAAAACAAACACTGAGCACTGTACTTGGGAATGTGTTCATTGGGAATGATTTGCTTCAAACTAATGACGACATGGAATGTACACTCACGGGATGCTGGGAACAGTTTTACAAAAAGGAGGTCAGAGACAGAGACAGCAAACAAACGACAGCCCCCAAACCTGCACCTGAAAACACATCCCATATTGGCTGCAAGGATAATCTTGGGCCACAAAGTGCAGCCCAAGTCCCCCACGTCCCTCAGGCTCACATCCTTGCCATTAGGTACAGATGTCTTCCCGACAGAAGATGTCTTCCCTAAGAGGCTCCCAGTGGGGGGAGGTCAAGGTCTACCTAGTCCAGCTGCTCGCTGGACACCCAAGAGATCTGGACTCTTTTCCCCACCTCCCACGAGTTACTCCTTTATTTAGCATTAAAATAACCACTGGACCTGAATGCAATTTCTGAACTCCAGGGATAAAAAGAAAAAAGACAGCCCATGTCCTCAAAGAACTAATGCAAAGACATAAACCAAAACTCACTACCATCAAATCAATTCTCTCTCATGTCCCTTTGAAACAGAGTAGAACTGCCCCATATGGTTTCCCAGGAAGTAAATCTTTACAGAAGTAGACTGCCTCATCTTTATCCTGAGGAGCAGCAGTGGGTTTGAACTGATGCCCTTTTGGTTAGCAGCTAAATGTTTTAACCACTATACCACCAGAGCTCTTTGTGAAGACATACAGAGAAGATGACTGCTGTATCCAAGGACATACATATAGAAGGCTAAGTCTAGTAGGAGGAGTCCAGGAAGGCTTTGGAGTAGAGACAGAGTATCAGATAGGGGAATGGTGCCCATGCAGATAGCAGAAGGGTGACAGAAGCAGCACTGTGCAGTGGTGCCCTTCAGGGCCACCTCCACATTGTGACTGAAACTTTACCAATATACCTTTTAACGTAGCTTCTTCAGTCCTGAGTATTTTTATTTCTGTCTTGATTGGCTAAGTTTTAGCAATGTGATTTTTTTCAAGATGAGTTCATTCCTATATAAGGATACCTGCCTGTTGCTTCCATACTTGAGAGTCAGCTTGGCTGGGTATAATATTCTTTGTTCATATTTTCATTCCTTAACCATTTTTCTCCATTGTTTTTTGGCATTAAATGTTCTATGGAAAAGTCTTGAGGGCAGTTTGTGTTTCATTTTCCTACTTTGCTTTCGTCTACACAATTAAGTTCAAGAATTTAACCAGGATATGCTTATGTCCATTATTATAGCTCAATTTTGCCTGGTATACCCAGAGTCCCCTTTTGATCAGCAAATCCAGTCCTCTCATATCAAGAAAATTTTCTTCCATTACATTTCTGGATATTTTTCTAATCTATTTGTTGGGATTTTATCTAGACAATCATCATCCTTATGTTGGATTGTCTATCTTTCTTTGTCCTCATAATTATCATCTTCCCTCTAAATGCTTTAAGTCTTTTAATTGTGTTAATAATTCAATTTTTGACCATTATATATGTATTGTCATTTGGTTCTTTAGTTATTTCCTTGTTGTTGCTAGGGGCCATCAAGTCATCTCTGACTCACAGCGATCCTACGCACAGCAGAATTATATACTGCCCACAGTCCTGTGCTAGCCTCACAATCCTTGCTATACCTAAGCCCATCATTGCAGCCACACTGTCAACTCATCTCGTTGAGGGCCTTCCCCTTCTTCATTGACCCTCCACTTTACCAAGCATGATATCCTTCCCCAGGGAATGGTTCCTCCTAACATGACCAAAGTAGGTGAGATGAAGTCTGGCCATTCTCTCCTCCAAGGAGCATTCTGGCTACACTTCTTCCAGGACAGATCTGTTAGTCCCTTTAGCAGTCCATGGTACTCTTAGCATTCTTCTCCAACACCACAACTCAACAGCATCAATTCTTCTTTCGTCTTCCTTATCCATTGTCCAGCTCTCACAAGCATAAGAGGTGACTAAACATACCATACTTTGGGTTAGGTGCACATCAGTCTCCAAGGAGCCATCTTTGCTCTTCATCACTTGAAAGAGGTCTTCTGCAGCAGATTTGCCCAATGCAATACATCATCTGATATCTTGACTGCTGCTTCCATTGGTGTTGATTGTGGAAACAAGTAATATGAAGTCCTTGACAACTTCAATCTTTTCTCCTTCCATTGTGAAACTATTTATTAGACCAGATGTGAGGATTTTTGTGTTTTTATACTGAGGTGTAATTCATACTGCAGACTGTAGTCTTTAATCTTCATCAGTAAGTACTTCAAGTAATCCTTACTTTCAGCAAGCAAAGTTGTGTCATCTGTGTACTGCAAGTTGTTAATTAGTCTTCCTGCCTAAGGCATTTGATTGCTAACCAGAGGGCTGGAGGTTCAAACCCACCAACCACTCCTTGGAAGGAAGGTTGGGCTATCTACTTCCAGAGTGATACTGCCTCAGAAACCCAAGGAGGGGTCACTATGAGTCAGGGCCGACTCAACGGCATGACAGCAACAACAAACAACCAATCCTGATGCCATGTTCTTCTTCATATAATCCAGCCCTAGCTGTGTGGTACCTCTTTTAGTCTCACCCTAGTAATATGCCTTTGAAAGCTGCTGTTTTATTGAATTCATATTCTGTACTGTGAAGTAGTTATCTCAGTTTTCTTAAGGCCTTAGGTACATTTTCTTCTGTTAGGATCTTCATTGGTCTTTTGCATACTCATTTATTTCATTTGCTTCTACTATGGTTGGAATGCTATTTTTTTTTTTTTTTTTTTTTGCCATTGTGCTTCTGCATACAGATAGTTCTATATTACCAAAGAAAAGAACAATAGGCAAATTCTCCTAGATACCTTTCAAAGTTTATCTAGGACCTGTTTGTTCTTCCCTGTGAGCTACAGTTTCAGGGCAAGGTTCTGCTTTCTAGCTACTTTCATTAATCTAAGGGCACTGGCAGGAAGGGAAAGATCTAGCCAGGAAAGCTTGCAACCTTTGCTGGGAGACCTGGATCCTGCTTTTTCTTCTGGGATTCTGATAAAACCCCTATACTACAGTTTACTCACCCCAACAAGAAAGACATTGCTTTCCTGTGGACTTTGGCTTATCCTGCAACTCAGCAAGTATATACTCTAAAAAATATGCATTGGGGTGTCAAGTGGAGAAGACAGAATATGTGATCTGGCTCTACTCTTCCATCTATACCCAGGAATTAACTCATTTGCTTAAGAACACGTTTTCTTGAAAGCCACTTAGTTTCTCTAAAATTTAAGTCTCTCCTAAATAGAAAAGAAACTTTTTCTGCACAAATACATCAATATGGATTGAAATGCATGAAGGCTGTGCTCTTTGAAAAGTACGAAATAATACACATACCCAGTTATTCCACAGATGTTTGCACCCCAAAATATTGTTTTTTTTTTTTTAACAGATAAGAAATAACATGAATACAGACCTCAGTGGAAGGTATATCATGTTTCTCAGGACATGTGTCTTCTTTAGAAGCTTTGTGAATCTTCTTCTCTGAGGAAGACTTTGTGTCACTGTGCTTTTTCAAAGTTTCACAATTATCTGCTTCATTCTTGACAGGCACTTGCTGGTTACTCCCTTGAATAAATAAAAATAATTCAATTTCTACCTAATTATCTCCATTTGTATTTCCTATAGTTAAATCTCCTTCTTACAACCAACAAGTAACATTTTGCCTGAATGAGATTTAGACTGAAGGACTGTTTCTGATCTGTACAACATCCTAAAAATGTACTGTTTATAGGTGAAAATGCATTTGAATTAAGAGTTCTACAAATAATTTTTTAACAGAGGTCAAGAACAAAAGGGATGAAGGGGGGTAGGGGGACTTGGCTTCAGGTGGTGACTTAGCTGCTTAGTTTTATGAACAAACTGAGTTCTTAAAGCTGCCTGAATCTCAGGTCCCCTTATTTATAAAATAAAGATACCACCATCTTTGCTGCCTATCCCATTAGACTATTACAAAGATGAGACCAGAACTGATATAGAAGTTAAAGTGTCACCCCCAAAGGGCACAGAAACCATTTCAGGGAAAGCCCTTCCCTTACAGTAAGTACCCACTCTATTCCCTGTGAAAAATGCCTGTCTTCTGAAGAATGACCTGGTAGATGAATCATTGGTAAAAGTGGATGCAGGTAGGAAGCGTCATCTGAAAACACAATTTTTTTTCCATTTCCTTGGAAGAGATTTCATTCTTACATGTATTTCTTCTTCTATCCATTCCCTCACAATAAAGTGAAATCAACTTCAACCCCACAGGAACTGGTCTCTGTGTTTTAATTTGAAACAGAAAGTATTTCAATACCTTTTCATCTAACCAAGGCTCCTGAACAGTACCTCTGAAATCTGAGAGCATTTAGATTACCACAGTGCCGATATTTCATAGCAAAGCTGCAGGTTCTGGTGAAATGAATGCCCGACCAGACACCAGTAGACCTAAACCCGAAGTTCCAAAACAGCCCTACTATGGGACTTTGGGAAGGCAAGTCTCTCACTCACAAAACAAAAGTAAAGACCCCTCTGGTTCAAAATTTTGAAGCTACAAATTAAACATAAAGATGCATAAATATTTATAACACTTATTCAAAATTGTGTTAATATTATGAAACTGTAAAAATACTGGGCAAGCAAATGGTATACACATTTTAATTTATTACAAGTTTTTAGGGTTTAACCATAATCAGGGCATACTGGGTGTCTTATACTTTTAGGAAAAGCAGCTCTATCTCAAAATTAATTTAAGATTATGTCTCTAACTATCTCAGTAAGATGAAATTAGAAAATTACCCTTTTGGCTAAAGCTGCTTACATAAGATAAACAGCTCAGGATGTTTTAGTGAATGGAAGGGCCAAAATCTTATCCAGAGGCAAATCTGATCACTACCAAATGCTTCCTTTAATAATCGGAAACAACTTTAAAGTCTGAGTTTGTAGAGAGTCTGAACCCAAGGCAATGAAGGAAGCTCTCAGGAATTTTTGTCCTCCTAAGACAGTCAACCGTCTGCCTGGATTGCTTGGCTGTACCTAGTTAGAGGATGGAGAGTTCCTGGGTGGTGCACACATAAAGCACTCAGCTGCTAACTGAAAGACTGAAGGTTCAAATCCACCCAGAGATGCCTCAGGAGAAAAGCCTGGTGATCTACTTCCAAAATATCAGCCACGAAAAACCCTAAGGGGGCATAATTGTACTCTGACACACATGGGGTCACCATGAGTCAGAATCAACTCAATAGCAACTGGTTCATTGGTATTTAGAGGACAGTTGGGATGCAGCTTCGGATAACCTTCAAACTTTACATTTCTGAACCATACGCATACAACAGATGTACTATAGAATTATCATACTCCCCCTTTTACGTGTCAATATTAAAAACCATTCTTTTGCAGAGATCACTTTTAAAAATTAATTCCTTCTACAACACAAATGGGCTATTAGACATCTATAATGGAAAATACCCAACACTATGAACAAGTAAAGGAAAAAGGCAAGAGCATGGAAGACAGGATACACAGCATATAAAGAAATCATAAATAAAAATATGATTTCGGATTCTGGAAGCTGTAAGTATGAAACAGAACACAGTTATTCTCTTGGGCCAATATTCTCCTAGAGTCCTAATTCATGAGAAAATAGATTTCTTTAAGTTGTCTTCTTGCCAAGAATAAGCACTCAAAGTATTAGTCATATACATAAATTAAAGTTTTTTTAAGAAGTATCCAACTTAATATCTAATACTAAACCACCCAGAAAAAAGTAGTGAAAAACTGACTCTTAGAAAATTAGTAATGTTCTCTGTGGGTCCCAGAATCAGGACAAACAGTAAAATGAATCTTAGTAATAGGTTTTTCATTGATTTTCTGAGAAACTCTAGCATCAAAATATTCAAGAAATGGGAAATACTGTGAGTAGACACTTCATTTTAAAATGGTGTCAATCCATGTCAGTCTCTTAAGCATGCTTACTTCAAGTATTATGCAAAGTTCCCACATTTACTTCACACAGTAAGAGTGTTTGTGCCATAGTTAAAGATCAAAAACAAATGGAAAAAACAGGAAGCAAGTGAACTTGTTGTTAGAATCCTGCTAGAGCTTTATCATATCTACACACGTGGCATATTTTGAGTAAATAGTTATACCATCATTTAAAGCTATTAGAGTCCATAGGTAAGTGAAAACATTTTTTGAATTTCTGCAAATACTGGTATTTCAGAAATCTTGGAGTGAGCACTTTCATATGCTGTCAATTGTGAAATTAAAAAATCAATCATCCTTTACATTATTATAAGCAGAGAACAACGAAATAATCTGATTATTCCTTTTGTAGTACTAAGGCCAACAATCTGCCTTTAGCCACAACCCTAAATCTGTATTATTTTGACTATACAGTTAAAAATAATAATAAACATTCTAAAAGAGACATAACATATTGCAAAGCACATTGACATTACACATAAAGTCCCAGTCTTGTCAAATGATCAAAAGCCTTGAGAACATGTAACCAACATTTGAGAAATTCCGTAGTTTCATAGTTGTTTGGCAGGTTGATGCCAAAAGACAAGTGTGGGAAAACAGAATAGTGAAGAATCTGTCAACAGACGTCATTTCTACTGGGAATTTTAATTTATGATTTACTACAGGCCTCTCAGGAGGAGGCAGGAGAAAAAGGGCAGCAAAGGGATGAGACATATTTTCTGTTATTCAGAAAATATTCTGTACTGCTCAACAACACTGACAGTGAGTACGTAGTCTGTGGCATGAATATACACATTGGAACATTTCTTCTCACACAATAATAGAGTTATTAAAAAAAAAAAAAAGTCTCTCCCAGAATAGGAGAATTATAAAAATTCAGGTGCCTCAGGGAGTTCTGATAGGTTAGGAAAGACACTTATGGCACTTTTAGGAAGCAGCACTCCCCCTCTTTCCTTTCCCAAAGGCAATTTTATCACTGGACTTGTTTCCAAAGAGTATTTGTATGCTTTGGGAGACAATGCAAAACGTGGCAAACGAAGAGCTGAAGAGCTAACATGCAAAATTGGAAGTGAAAACTTAGAAGGTTCTTGCATACAGTTTTCCCACACTTGAGTATTTTCACAAATTATGACCCCCCTATTTATAGGGAAATAATGCCTATTTATCATGTTAATTTATTGCTAAGATATCCTTTAAAATGTGACAAAAGAAACGCAAACTCTTATTCCTAAAACACCCCAAATCCTACCTTCAAACTACAATTATCCTCCCCTAGATTTCTCAGTCCTTACATTTATTCCCACTATATTTATTTTAAAAATCTTTAATTATGTAAACATTTTATATCATAAATTAATATCAGGTATATATATATTTTTTTTAACTACTTAACATCTTCAATATTTTCCTAGAATAGTACTGTGAACATAAAACAGTCAGAAGAAAATATAGGTCAACGAATGGAGTGTCCTGTGAATTCTGTAGAAAAATGTAGGACAGTGAATTAGCACCTTTGAATTTGCTGGTCTGAACATGGTGGGAAGCTAAAGTTCTTCATCAGTTCTCATTGGAGATCTGGTCAACAATCACCCTGGAACCACTTAACACACTGCCACTGCCAATGCAGCCAAAAATTAGCAACAAAAAACCCCACAATGGAACATTCTTATAGCTAATGTATGTTTGCATTTAAAAAATTACAAACCTATTAGAAATCTGAACAGGAAGGAAAGATTCTAGACAGGCTTACCATCCATGATGATAGAGGCAAACCCTTTTTTGGGACTCCCCTATTAAATTAATCACACTGACAGAAGTGTTATTATGTGGTAATCTTGACTCTTATTGGCATTAAATATCAAGTACTGGACAGGCCAAGTATGGGGATGGCACAGGCTCGAGCAACCAGCATTATGTTCTGCGAGGCATGGGGTCACTAGGAGTCAGGACAATTCTATGGCAACTAAAAACAACAGCGGATGGGAGTGGAAGCACAAACTCAAATCCTCTGACTCACATAGGCACTACCTTTCTGATCCATGCCACCAGGGTTCAACCCCTTCAAAGAGTTATGATTTGGCAGATAGCCTTTCTCATCTACCCACAATGCCACAGTAAGTTCATTTTGCAGGCATATTTATTCAACCATCTATCTGATGGACAGAATGGACTACAGAAAAAGTAATTCTACTGGGATGATGATCCCCTCAAACTGCTATAATTTTAAGTCTGTGTAAAGTCATTGTATATCAAACACTGGGCTAAGGCCTAAAGAATCACACATAAGGAAAAAGCCCAGTAGGATTTTCTCCACATTTCTATCCACTCAAGTTTTTTGTTTTTTCTAGTATTTTGGTCATAGAGAATGTCTGTGAAGGAAACAGCAATAGGAACTCAACCACCCCACCATAAAATACCCACCCACAGACAAGGTACACTGAGACTTTTGTGTGAAGGTCTAGTTAAATGGCATTATCCCAAATGGCATACTTACATGGCAGGTGGACAATACACGTGTACAGTGGTGTCAGCACTGCATACAAGAATGCACTGCTGTCAAGGGAGAGTGCAGGTAGGTTGGAACAAGGTGCACCAGGAATGATATGCAGCTGCCCAAACCACGTTCCACTCAGAAGATGCAACTGTCTCTTACAATGGAAATGTCCTTTTACGGAACATTTAAAATTCAATTTGGATTTTCACTAAATGCATAAAAACTCATTAGAATTAGCGAATCCATTAATACCTCTGTACCCTCTCTACCATATCAAGGAATGACAAATACAAAGTTATTTACATTTTGGTGTTTCAAATATGATCAATAGAAACCAACTGTTTCAGATTAAAAAGTATCAAAAATCTGGCTTTCCTAGGTACAGAAAAATGAGCATATTAAGATGGTGGATGGACAGAAAAATAAGCACAGAAATAAGCCAGAAGCTGAGATCCGTTTAAGCCTAACAAAACTCCTACATGTAGATCATCTTTCTAGTCTAGTTTTGTTTGTATTTTCAGTATAAGAAAACACCTGTTTTCCTTTAACCAAGAAACAAATTAGCAGAACCAGGGCCAAGGAACACAAGATGGTGGCATCTGTTAAATAAAGTTGGTGAAATTTTGTTCAATCAGAGACATTTCATGGGCTGGTTAATTTTGGCAAATAGTCTGAAAAGTTAAAATAAAGGATAATGGAGAGAAAATGTCCATATCCTCCCAATAATAAAATAAGATAGTCACATTCTTCTAAGCTTATGTACTAAATTACAATTAAACGCCCTAGCCACAACATTCTGAAAACTTGGTGCCTTGCCTTGAACTTCATTTCACAGATCATACTTCAACATTTATACCTTTGCTAATGCCTCCTGCATGAATGGAAAACGTCAACATCCACAATTAAAACTAAAAGCCACAGGTGAGAAGAAATTCCATTAAAAACAAGTTGGAGGCAAATGGCAAAGAAGAACTGACGAACAGAAACTGACAAAAAGAAGGAAAATATTACCATTATTTTTCCTGGAAATTTCTGGCGAGTCTGACTGGTACTGAGGTGAATTTCTTGGCAAATGATTTTCAGGTAGTTTCTTAGAGGTCTTCAGAGGACAGAACTCAGGCTCCTTGAGCTCAGCTATAGTTTCTGAAGTTTTAATGTCAGTTTCCTTAGGAAACATACATGTCTGTATTCCCTCCTTCATGTTACACTCTGAAGAAGTATTATTGACAACAATTGTGTTTTTCAGTGTGTTTTCTTCTTTATTCAGTAAGTTTTTGGGAAAGGTTAAGCTCTTTTGCAGGTTGACATTTATGCCACTTGCATATTTGAGGTTTATCCAGTTCTCACCCATCACATCAGTGCAACTGTCCTCTTTAGGAGCAGACAGGGCGCTGCTACCCAGAGTCGAAGTCTGTTTTTCCTCAGTAGTAGTGTTGGCACTGCTGGTGAGAGATGAGCTGCTTTTGTGTTTGCTGTAATATACTGAACACTTATGCTTCTTCTGAGAATGGCCATAGGTTGCTGGGCTCCGCTTTGCAGCATTCTGGATCCTGCTTTGAGGAGTGCTTACTGGAAGGCAGCTTCTCCCCCTGCCTTTATCAGAAGGGCCATAGGCATCGAGAAAGTTCTTGCAATTGCTTCTGAATTTAAGAAGAAAAACATTTAACATAATGGAACACAAATGAAGCTCTACTTCTCTGTTTCTAAACCAATGGAAAGGGACAGTAATTGGTATCATGTATATTAAGTTCTCTGAACTTTCCTCCTCCTTCATGATTTTTTGCCAAAAACAATAAATTACAAGCAACTATATGGAAACTATCTTGTCACAAAAGAAATGTTACAGCTATTCAGATAATAAACAGCTGAAAAGAAAATCTGCTGAAAACAAATAGGGAATCAAAATTACCTTAAAATAAAACCAGAAAAGGAGTAACATCAAAAGTGTGTGTGTGGGGGGCAAACCCACACTACAGGAAACCTTACTTGGGAGAATGGGGGCTGATTACATCCATTGGAGTGCTGTTTTGCTGTGAAGAGGAGCTAGAATTTTGCCTCTGTCTTGTTTTCATGAATTCCATAAGAATGTACTGTGCTTGCTGAAAGGCTATTAAAATCACACCCAACAGGGACAAACTGAGGAAGCAAGCAACAAGATTCATTACTGCATGGTTCTGACTGGCATGAAAAAAACAAATTTCATTACAGAAGTGTGGTAAATGACGAGAAGCATCTAAAGAAATGGCATTAAAGTTATGGTGTGTGACATCATAATTTCTGACATTTCTTAAAGATCTTAAAATACATGAGATTTTCTAAAAATGTATTATTTACAAGTTTAACATTCCAATCCAATTTTTAAAAATATTTTCAGAATAAAAGCACTTTAAGAGGCTCCTTTTACTCTTCTCAACTCAAAGTGCCATTCCACTGTAGTAGTATGAAAAACATTTCTATCTTCCACCTGACTGGTAATGAACATTTATGGAATACAACTGTCTGTTATACTTCTAGGTCACATGAGTCTCTTACAATTAGTTTCCTACTATTTTAAAGCTGACCAGTTACTACACTGCCAACATCACAAATGTCAGAGTTTTCAAAGCAATATAAATTCCACTCAATTTATATGCTGTGACTACACCAAGCAATTCTCATTCCCATGCAACTCGCCTGATGACTCGTCTACTCAGGGAGAGAACAGTGGAGATGGTGGTGGTTTACCTGACAAAGAACACTGTGAGCCTCCAAAATGACCCCTCCCAGCTAGGTCCTGGAACCACGTCCGCACACAAGGGCAACAGGTGATGAGGGAGGGTCGCGTTGAGAGTGAAGTGAAGTTCCAGGTCTGTGCCAGTTACAAGAGTCAGCTCCCGAATGACCCAGGAAGAGGTGAAGTCTGGAGTAAACCTGACAACAAAATGTACAACCTTATGTACTTTCACTGTTTTAATTTTAGGCATGAAACAAACTAATCCTAATGACAGCAAATATTCTTACTTCTATAAAATAAATATTTATATATAAGGAAATTAAAAACATCGAAAGAAAAGCCTTTTGTCTCCTCTACACTGTTGAATGCACCACAAAACTAAAACCCACACTTACACAATGCTGATGTCCCGGGATGTGTTTGGATCCAGGGAAAACTGATGACAATCTAGCACTTCGAATCCATAACCTTGGCAATTATACCCATTGATTTTAAGAGATGACACAGTTATAGGAAGAGGTCCGATGTTCTCAACTTTAAAGTTCTTTGTAATAGATAAAATTTGCTTGCTGTCTTTCAGTTCTAGAAGGGACAAAAAGGAGTACTAAGTATGTAGGAAGTATATGGTAGCATAGTGCCTAAGGCTTGACTGCTAACCAGAAGGCTGGTGGTTCAAACCTACCAGCCGCTCCTCGGAAAGAAGGCTGGGCAATCTACTTCTGTAGTAATACTGCCTCAGAAACCCAAAGAGGGGTTGCTATGAGTCGGGTCCGACTTGATGGCACGTAACAACAACAACAACAACAACATGTATCAAATCAACAAACTATGATCTACATTAATGAAATGTGAAAAAAAAAAAAAAATCAACATAAGCTCAAAGTATGATTTCTATCTAATTTCTTTTAGAATCTGTTATACAACAACAAAAAACAACCCAAACCCACTGTCATTGAGTTGATACTGACTCATAGCAACCCTCATTGGGTTTCTGAGGCTGTAAATTTTTACAGAAGTAGATTGTACCATCATCTTTCCACGGAGTGTCGGTGGGTTTAAAGCGCCATCCTTCTGGTTAGCAGTCATATCTTAGGTACTACGTCACCAGGGCTCTTTGTTATACAACCAGAACATAGTAAAAATACTTAAGTAGTCAAGTTAAATGTTCTGCCTTAGTACCAAAAGTAATCAAAGTCTCCTCTTTGGCCTTTTACTTAGTAAAGGATAAAGTTTATTCTTCTCAAAAGCCAAACAGTTGGGATTTACAAATAGCTACCACCGCTCTATGTCCCTGCCACCTCGCTTGCAAATGTGATTCTAACTCACACTGAACCAGGGACCAGAATATAGGGTATAAATTCATCTCAGCTAATAGAAACACAAGGAGCTCTGGTAGCATAGTGCCTAAGGTACTTGACTGCTAACCAGAAGGCTGGCAGTTCAAACCCACCAGCCACTCCTCGGAAGGAAGGTTGGGCAATCCTACTTCTGTAGTGATACTGCCTCGGAAACCCAAGGAGGGGTCGCTATGAGTCGGGGCCAACTCGACAGCACACGACGACAACAATAATAGAAACACAACGGAGCCCTGGTGGTGCAAACTGGTAAGCACTTATCTGTTAGCTGAAGGGTTGGTGGCTCAAACCCACCCAGTGGCTCCACAGGAGAAAGAAAATCTGCTGCCATAAAGGTTAAAGCCAAAAATCCTCCTATGGGGCAGTTCTCTATCACACAGGGTAATCAGAAGTCAAAAACAACTGGACAGCATTCAAAGGCACCCAACAATAAGCAGAAACGCAGTTCAAATACTCATCACATTAAAAGGAAATAAGTAGTTAAATCCTTGCAAATAAATGAGAGAACATTTTACAGTAGGGATTAAAAGAGTTATAAAAATTCAGAAATATTTCTAAGAATTTCATAACCCATAATCTACTCTATGTGAGAATTAATATTTTGTCTTGTTTTATGGTTTATTTTTTAACTCTATCTTTCAAGATCAACTCTAAATTATGTGAGTAATGAATACCCTGATGGAGAATTCTGAATGCAAAATGGCTAACATCTTTTCAAAATCACTGTTCATTTACTCATTTAGCAGTTTTCTTAAAAAAAATAAAAGAAAGGATTGGGCAAGATGGTGGACTAGGCAGAAAGACTGCACAGACCCTCTTCAACAAAGAAAAGGGAAACCAATTAACACAGACACAGAAGATAATCCTGGA